CAGAGCCAAGAAATCCCCATGTGCGACCCTCTGTTGTGCCTCCGAAGCCTTGAGGCCCCCACAAGCACGGCCGCCGCGGCTGCCGCTGCCACTGCCACTACTGCGAGAGCCGCCGCCACCAGCGCCACCACCTCCGCCACCCCTGCCGCTGCCTCTGGCATTGCCAGCCACGCCCACCGCCGCCGCTGCCGCTGCTGCGCGACCAGAGAGAGAGAGAGAGAGAGAGAGAGAGAGAGAGAGAGAGAGAGAGAGAGAGAGAGAGAGAGAGAGAGAGAGAGAGAGAGAGAGAGAGAGAGAGAGAGAGAGAGAGAGAGAGAGAGAGAGAGAGAGAGAGAGAGAAAGAGAGAGAGAGAGAGAGAGAGAGAGAGAGAGAGAGAGAGAGAGAGAGAGAGAGAGAGAGAGAGAGAGAGAGAGAGAGAGAGAGAGAGAGAGACGAGGAGAGAGAGAGAGAGAGAGAGAGAGAGAGAGAGACGAGAAAGAGAGAGGAACCCGAGTGGCCAATCGCCCAGGAGCTCCAGAGCAGCCAGAGAGAGAGAGAGAGAGAGAGAGAGAGAGAGAGCAAAGAGAGAGAGAGAGGAGAGAGAGGGAGAGAGAGAGAGAGAGAGAGAGAGAGAGAGAGAGAGAGAGAGAGAGAGAGAGAGAGAGAGAGAGAGAGAGAGAGAGAGAGAGAGAGAAAGAGAGTAAGAGAAGAGAGAGAAAGAAAAGAGAGAAAGAGAGATAACAACAAAATAGAGAGGGACAGAGAGAAAGAGAGAGAGAGAGAGAGAGAGAGAGAAAAAGAGAGATAGAGAGAGCAAGAGAGAGAGAGAGAGAGAGAGAGAGAGAGAGAGAGAGAGAGAGAGAGCCAGAGCCAGAGCCAGAGCCAGAGACGGAGACAGACAGAGACAGAGACAGAGAGCGAAAGAGAGAGAGAGGGAGACTGTTTCTTTCTTGAAGTAGCGAGCAAAATGTGGTGGCCCAGCCGGGCTTGCGAGACCACGCCCGCCAAAATCCTCTTCCTCCTCCTCCCCCCCTCCTCTTCCTCCTCCTGCTCGAACGGTGGATCTGTGCTATCTCTGTTTGTTATCCCTCTGCCATTCGGGGCTCGCAGGAGTTGCGCCCGTGGTGTGCGCGCTTTGCCGTTCGCTTCATCTTTGCGTCGTGAAGAGTGCCGCATTCCATCCTGATCCCTTGCTTCTAGTTGGCGGCGGAGCATCGGCTCCCTTTCGCGCGCCGCTATGGGCTGCATTCGTCTGTGGGCGTGCGTGACCGAGGGCGTCAGACAAACGATTGTTCCGACCTTCGCATCTCTGGCGCTTGCGAAGCATCCCGAAGCATGTCAGAGCTGGGGGAGACTCAGACATAGGAGCATGATAATCGAGGGTCTGGCGACAAGGTTGTCAGCGCTCCGTGGGGCCGCGAATCTACTCTGGGATTCTCCGTTTTCGACCATGTGCGACATGGCCTCCCACGTTGCTCACGCGCTCCCAGCTACCTGGCGCACTTGGATCCCGTTGCATACTCTTCTTCGCGATCGCGCAGGCGGCGGCGCCTGGCACAGTGACTACGCGACGCGACGCACGCCGAGCACGCGCCGAGCATTCCCATGACCACGTCGCGGGGTGTTCCGAGCGCCCGTCGCGCCTCAACCGCGCGACGGATGAGCATGCCCAACGCGCTGACAAGGAAGAGCGTGCCCGGAACATATGCCCACGGCGGCTCCGAGGCAGCGCATCGCCGCTGGCGGGTTCCAGGACTCCAGCCGTGGAAAGGGGGGGCTCCACTGGACGGATGGCCGTCGGAGTGGGCATGGTCGCTGCCGCCAGCTGCATCGCCCCCGCGGGCGCCAGCGGCGGCGGTGGCGGCGGCGCGCAGCGCCCCCGCACCTGGGGGCCCGAGCAGCAAGCTCGCGTGCTCTTCCAACGCTGGGCGCGGGAGGTCATGACCTGGTCAGTGGCGAATTCCGACCTCAACGGGTTCCGCGCAGCGGCTTACGTCTTGTTTCGCCTCGCTGGCATGGCGCGCGACGCGCGAGTGCGTGGGCGCGCGGCCGCTGGCCGTTCTAACCCAGGAGGGTCACGTCAGTGGCAGCCCAGCGCCGCCCATGACTGGTCGAGTCGAAGCAGCTCAGGCTCGCGAGGCATAGGGACATGCAGCCATTGCGTTGCGACCCCGCCCCGTTTAGGCGCCCGTCGGCTTCCTGGCGCAGAAGGCCAGGTCGCGGGGCAGCCCGGGATCGACGGGGTCGGCCTCCAGTATGACGACGCCACCCGCGCCGCGGGCTTTCGGGGGCGAGGGCGGCGCGGGGCGCTGCAGGGCGCTGGGGGGCGGTCGAGAGTGGCGCCATCCATGGGAGTAGGCAGCGGGCTCGGAGCGCCGGGCCCCCGCGGCGTTGACCGTTGCGCGGCAGCGGGGGGGGCCGCTCTTGGGGCCAGGCGGCTGGGAAGCTCTGCTGGGCGGCAGCGAGCGACGGCGCCCCCCCCCCCCCCCCCCCCCCCTTCCTTTTGGGCGCGGGCAAGGCGGCTGACCGAGCGGGGCCCTGGCGGCGCGGGAGCTCCTCGACGCGTTCCCTGGCGCGACGCCGTTCTTGAGGCCCGGGGGGTTCCGCCCGAAGGCGAGCCTCGAGACGGCGGGGCCGACGGGCAACCTGGGGGGCGCCAGGGCAGCGCCCAGGTCCAAGCCGAACGGGCGGACGTTGCCGGTCCTCCTCACCGAGCTCTTGGACGGAGCCCACTTGAGTTGTCGCCGAGCCCGGAACGGATTCCGCGCCAGGGGGGCCAGGGGGCGGGCGACCCCGGCAACGTGGAGAACGTTGACTTCGAGGAGTATCTCGGGATTCGCGCTGCGGCCGCGGATTGGAGGGGCACGCGCCCGACGCGATGGCGCTGACCACCAAAGGACACCGCGAGTCGACCGCCGAGGAGAGGGCGGCCGCAACGCGGGGACAGCCCCGCTCAGAGCGCCGCGGACGAGGTCGCTCAGACGGAGCGGGAGCAGCTGCAGCGGCGCCCCGACAGGAGAGCGCCGGCGCGGAGGCGGCAGCCCGCGGGCGGCCCAGGAGGCGGCGCCCACCGCGCTCCGCGCAGCGGTCGCGCGGGTGGCTCGAACTCCCCCTCCCCCGCGCCCGGCCCTCCCGCCCGCGCCCCCCCCGCCCCCTCCCCAGGGCTCCTTCTGCGCGGGGGCCCGGGAGGGGGGGGGGGGGGCCGACCGCGGAGGATCCTGTGGATGTTGGGCAGTGCTTCGAGACCGCGCTTAGGCTTCTGCGCGCGTAACAACAAGTGGCGGTAGCGGCGAGGTGAGACGGCGGTCGGGCCCCCCGACGCCAGCGGCGCCCCCGGGGCGGGGGGCCCCGGCATCTCCCTCTCACGTCCGTTTCTCCACCCGTCGGTATTATTGATGAATCGTCCCCATCGAAGAGAGGGGGCATCGAGTTTCTGGGAGCGGCAGGCGCCCCGCGCACAGGGCCCCCCCAGCACCGCGACATACAAGAGGTTGGGCATTCACCCTCTTGCATGGCTGGGGGGCGACCCCCCAGCCCCTTTCATAACGCTTTCGCAGCGCTACTAGGGGGTTGTCGAGGATACGCCCCCGCGTGCCGACGCGAATGTGCATTTTCTTTCCTGCCCAGCGTCTGTGGCCAGTCGGGCTCGGGCGCTCGGCCGTTTCAGGATAACCCACCTATCACCACCTGCCCTACATTTGTACAGGGCCCCTGGCACCGCCGCCCATGCAAACGGAATCGCGGTCACTTCGTCATTCCTTTTGCCGCTGCTATCGCGCCGCTATTAGGGCCCATCGAGGATACGGAAAGATCCCTGAGGGGTTCCTGAGGATTATGACCAGTTCCCGAAGGATTCCTGAATGTTCCCTTTGTATTCCGGAGGGATTCGCGAATATATCCAAGGGTTCTGAACAAATCCCGAACATTCTCTGCTCCCTCCAGAGAGCGAGTCCATGACTTATGGTGCTTACGGTTCGTTTTCGAATGATTCTTTGGAGATTACTGAAGATTCCTGCGGGGTTGCGTCGGTTGGTGAAGGGTCCTTGAACATTCCCAGATTATCTTTGTGCTTTCATGGGGTTCGCCAGGTAACCTATGGTTGTCCTAGGACCTTAAAATATTCTTCATTGCTCCTACAGATGACCGAGGATTCTTGTGAAATTCCCGAAGGCTTCTTGAAGTTTCATGCCGGTTCGCTGCCGATTTCTTGAGGTTTCGTGAAGATTCTTGATGGTTCTTCAGGATTTCCTCACAGCTTCTAGTGGGGCCCTTCAGATTCCTCACGATTCCTAAAATTTGTGTGGGGATTCCTGAGGGATTCCTGCTCAGTCTTGCAGGATCCTTGATACATCCCCGACGATTTCTGCGAATTCGCCCCTCCCCCCCCTCCCCCTCTTAATTTTTCTTGTGTGCTAACGGTATGGTTCCGTGGTTTCCCCCCCGTCCAGATTTATTTGTGCCAGTGAGAACACAAGGGTTCCCACGAGGGCGCGAGGTGAATCGCGGTCCTCGTTCCTTCTCCCCTTACTCGTCCTCTTTTTCTCCACTTGGGGGGGCGGCGCGAGAGCGCAAAGTTACTCGTTTCGCGTTTCGCGGAGCGCGAAGCGCGAAGTTGGTAGCCATAGACACGAGATGGATTGATAATTCATTCTCACGATTCCTCACAACCTCTGCACGCACACCTGCATATGGTTGGGTCTTTCGCATGGGTAATTGTGGGGGAGGGTGCCGACGACGCACCCAGAGCCGGTCCTTGGGGTCTTGGGGCCCAGGAGGGACCAGGCCAGGATCGGCACGTGAGTGCATTGGTGGCGTCTAGTGCTCCCACGAGGGCGCGAAGTTATTCGCGCTTCGCTTTTCGTGGTCATCGTTCCTTTTCCCCCTCCTCCTCGTCCTTCTTTTCTCCCTCTGGGCGGCGCGAGAGCGCGAAGTAATTCGCGCTTCGCGGAGCGCGAAGCGCGAAGTTGGGAGCCCCAGTGGTGGCGTTTCCCTGCCTCCTGTCCGGGCGTCCTCCCGCGAGTTACTGCTTCTACGGTGGCGTGCTGACGCTCCTGAACGCGTGGCCTCACGGGACGGTCGTCGTCGACATGTCGGACGTGGACGTCGTGGTGTTCGAGGTCGAAAGCTGCGCCGCCGCCCTGGCCAGCATGGTGCTCATAATGAAGGACCCTCGCGAGCGACGACGTATCCATATCCATGCCCTCGCGGTTTGTCACAGGAGGAAAAGGTACCCATACCTCTACCCTTCCCTCATTTTCCCCTCATGGGGCCTCCTCGGAGGCCCTCGTCATCACCGTCGGATTCGCCTCGCAATTCTGGTCAGAACGCACCCTGGAAGAGGTCTGCGGTCTGGAAAGTAATGGTATCGGTATGTTTTTGTCTCCCCAGTCTGGCTGGACCCCGAGTCACGATCCTACGGATGGGCTCCGCGCGGGACGCCCGCTCAAAGCCGCCCCGTATCCATCTCGGCGCGGCCGAGGGTCCAGACCGCGAGGCAACGGATATGGATGAGTTTCCCACCCAAGAGGACCGGGAGCGTCACCCAGTCCGTGTGGATGAGATCGTGGTGGCTGAGATGGGCTTGCTGCAACGGAAGCTCCTGTCGCTCAAGACGACCTGGCTCAGGGTGTCTGGCAGACAGGACTGGAGGAGGAGGGTGCGGGAAGTCTCGAGGGATCCGGACAAGTTTGCAGCCGACGGTGGTTGGGAGGCGCTCTTGTGCGCGATTCTCGTGGCGCCCGACATCCCTGCAGACGCGGGCAGCGACGCGCAGGAGGAGGCGGAGGAGGAGGGCGACTGGGCGCACAGGGACGACCAGCCGGACGAGGACGAGGTGGAGGAGGATGGGGACGACGAGAAGGACGAGGCGCGGGTCGTCTAATCGTGCAGTGGTGCCCACGCTTCGGGCGTCGTCGCCTGGGCGGGGAGCCCTCTCACGGCCCGCTCGCCTTGTCTCGCCTCCGCCTCCGCCTCCTCGTCCACGTCCCCTCGCCGTGTCGGTGTCCGTCGAGCCTCCTCAATGGTGGAAGCGACAAACAAGAAACTGTCCCTAGAGATCCGAGCGCTGCCACCCCCCACCCTCGCTCCATCCCTCGGGAGACGTCGGGCGCTTGTTTTGCAAGAGGCTGCGGTGCAATAGGCAAGAAAGACACCAATATGGCCCTGGAGGATTCCAAGAGGGCCCCAAATCGGCCCAGAGAGGCCCCCCAAACGGCTTCCGACGGCGTCAGACGGGCCAGGAGCCCACCAAGACGGCCGAACATGGCCCTAAGATGGCCCAAGACTGCCCAAAGAGGCTTCCAAGAGGGCCTCCATCCGAAGGAGCCGGGAAGCCTAGGTTACGCCCAGGGGCGCGAAGATAATCGCGCTCTGCGCGTCTCGGCCTGGCCCGCTGCGCCATCCTTCTCCAGGGGGCGGCGCGGGAGCGCGAAGATGACCGCACACTGCGGGGCGCGATGCGCGAAGCAGGGGCTCCCACGAGGGCGCGAAGGTATTCGCGCTTCGCGGTCCTCGTCCCTTCTACCCCCTCCTCGTCCTCCTCTTCTCCCTTTGGGGGGGCGGCGCGAGAGCGCGAAGTCATTCGCGCTTCGCGGAGCGCGAAGCGCGAAGTGGGGAGCCCTAGCAGAAGGGATCGGTCCCCCGCGAGAATGATGCCGCCTGCAGCTTCGGAGTGGTGGGAGGGCCTTCTTAGAGTGGGGGGGGCAGCCAGAAGTGTTCTTTGTTGCAGTTCTGCTCGATCTGTTGTTTCGGAGGGCTGCATCGAGCCGAGTGGTCCGAGGGAGTGCCTCTCCTTCGAAGGCGGACGAGCAGATGGAGCTGCCCAAGCCCAAGAGGCGCAAGAGCCGCCCCGCGGCGTAACCTCGTGTAGTTTTAGTGTGCTGAGGTACGGGGCCCAGAAAGATGCACCACCAAAACCCTCCTCACCCCCTCACTCTCCCAGGAAACTAGAGATGAAGAGGAGGGTCGAGGATGGAGGAGGAATGGACGTGGTTGGTGGTGGTGCATACAGTGAAGGCGCATAGAAAGGATGGGCGGCTTTGCAAGGTTACCCTTGCATCCTTCCCCGTCGGCCCATCCTTGGACACCTTCGCTGGCCGCGCCCCGCTCGAAAAGTGTCGACACGTCCTTCCAAGGCCCTTGCATCCTTATCGCGCGTCCTTATTAATCATACTCGTTGACTGCAGAGGAGGGAGGAGGAATCGAGGTGGTGGTGGTGGTGCATCTTCTTGGAACCTGCGTGAGGGGCAGGCCCTATGCGATCAAAGCGCGATAGGGCAGCGTGGGCCGGCACGCAGGGCTGCCACAGCGCTGGCGTGGCAGGCGCCCCGCGGGAGCGCGCCGGACGCCAGAAAAGCTGGGACCTCCGACGGGCCTCCTCAGGGGTCGGCGGCGACGATAGGGGCGAATAGCCCAGGGGCGGGCACTGCACGTATTCGCCCAGGAGCCTTTTCGAAGACATAGATCATCGGCGCGCCTGAATACATGTATTGCTCTCCCCTGGGCTATTCGCCCCTATCGTCGCCTCTGAAGGGGCAACGTTATGCTCAGTCGAAGAAGACGAAGAAGCGGCATAAACACATAAGTTTTCAGAGCTCCGCCCGGATTTCTTGGATCCGCGCTAGACCCACATGGCGGCGCCTCCGGTGCTGCCCCTGGCGCGCTCGGCGTGCCAGGGAGGGGGGTCCAGCGCCGATCCAAGAGGCTTATGATGTTCCAACCTGCTTCGCCAGCAACATTTTTGAGCACCAAGGAAGTACTGAAACTAAAGGGCCCTAAAGGGCGACACCCCTGGGAGAGATTTCACGTGTCGTGCCCTGGGAGACGATACTCGTTCGACACTTCGCCATCGTTTCGGTTTCGATACAGTTCGGGGTCTCGAAATTCCCAACCATCCTGTTATGTTGGGTCTTCGTTTGGAAGAGACAGCGCCCCGCGTTCCTGTCTCTCCTTCTACAATTTCACAATATACATATAACGGCGCACCGGGTCCGGGGGCCCAGGGCCGGGACCCCGACCACAAATGTGGGCCCCGGGGGGCCCGGAGGCTCGTCGGGGCTTGCCGGAGGCCTCCCCAGTCAGACAAGACGGCCCAAGAAGCGCCCAAGACGGCCCAAGAAACTTCCAAGAGGCCTCCAAGAGGGCTCCAAGATGCTGAAGATGGCCTCCAGACGTCCAAGGACGCCCCCAAGACGCCCCAAGAAGCCTCCAACATGCGTCCCAAGAGGGCCCCTAGACGCAAACATTGGCCCATTCCCTTCGTAAAACGTACATTTTTCACAAAGTTGCTTTTTGGGCTTTCCGACGTTACAGGACGGCCCACGAGGCGCCCAAGACCGCCCCAAGACGGCCCAAGAAGCTTCCAAGAGGGCCCAAGGACAGCCCAAGAGGGCCCCAAGACGGCCCAAGAGGCGCCCAAGATGGCCCAAGAGGGCCCCAAGACGGGCCCAAGAGGGGGCCCAGAGGGGGACCACGAACCGCAAGCTCGAGCCTTCCGCCCCAAGAGGCCGCCAGGAGGCCCCAAGGAGGCCCCTCAAGAGGCCCCAGGAGACCCCCAAGAGGCCCAAAGGAGGCCCCGAGAAGCCCCAAATCGGCCCCCAAGATGCTTCGAACCTGCTTCCAGGAGGCCCCCGACAGGTTCAGAGGCTCCCGAGAAGCTACGTCAAACTCCCAGCGATAATGATCCTAGCTAGAACTTAAGCGCGCGCGAAGCGCGCGCGTGGTTCTAGTATGAATATTACTCTCCTCTCTCCCCTGATGACGTCCGGAAGATATCCGGCCCCCCTCCGTGGATTGTTTTTTACACATCGGATTCCCGGGAACTTGGTTTTCGCGTGTTTTTTTCAACATGTTGCTCCCGCTGAAGCGCTGGCCCCATTTCTGCGCTTCTGGTTGTTCCAAATCGTGCTCCCGTTGCAGCGCGGGCGTTTTCGGCCTTTCCAAATTGCTCCCAACATCTAGAAAATGGCTCCCCGAAAAAAACCATCGGAGGTGATTACACATTCGGTGTCGATTCGTTGATTGTATGGGCCGCAGACGCCCCAAGCGGGAGCCCCGTTTCTGTTTTGAGAAAGCGACGTTGAAAGCAGAGCCAGCGGGTGCTTTACATCAGCCCCGCCTTGTGTGGAGCTTTTTGGGGAGCCCAAAGATTTCGACATGGAGCCACGATTCCAGACCGGCCCAGACCTTTCGAAGACGATCCGCTTACCCTCCAAGAAACTTGGTACCATGCCATGACATGCTGTGCGGTATTGTGTTATGCGCCGCTGTGCGATGCCATGTTTTGTGTTGCAATGGTTTGTGATGCAGCGCTTTATTGCGCAATGCCACGCCATGCTATGGCATGCTACACTCTCCCGTGCTCTTCTACGCCGTGCCATGCCGTGCTCTACCATGCATCGCGTACCCTCTCGCGATCATTGCCTTGCTCGACAGCCGACTGCGCGAATAGAGAGGATATCTACGCCATGCTAAGTGATGGGAGGGAAGAGTAGGGTGTCCGATATGACGGGAGCGCACCTAGCTTGTCTCCTCCCCCTCCTCCCTCCCCCCTCCTTGCCTCTGCACTCAACAAGTTTCTGTTTCGGCACACCCCTCGCACGCTTCGTGGCCCCGTGCGGAGCTCCATCGAAGGCCACAGTGGCAGGGTGCGCATGGCGCCACCGCACCCATTTCGGCACACCCCTCACACGCTCCGTGGCCCCATAGAGAGATCCACCGAAGGCCCCAGTGCGACGGTTTGCACGGCGCCACCGCGTTCATGTCGGCACACCCTTCAAACGCTTCGCGGCCTCATGGTGAACGCCACCGAAGGCCTTCCCAGTGGCAGGTTGCGCAAGCCGCCACCGCACCCATGTCGGCACACACCTCACACGCTTCGTGGTCCCATAGGGATGTCCACCGAAAGCCCCAGTGGCAGGGTTTGAATTGCGCCACCGCATCCACGTCGGCACTCCCCTCACACGTTTCGTGGCCCCGTACGGAGCTCCACCGAAAACCGAAAGCCCCAGTGGCAGGGTTCGCATGGCGCCACCGCACCCATGTCGGCACACCCCTCACACGATTCGTGGTTTCATAGGGAGCTCCACCGAAGGCGGCACACAGCTGCGGTATTCACACATGCATATGGTGATGGGTTTCGCCAGGATAATTGTTTTTGGATTTGGCCCTCAAGTACGATGGGATCCACATAACGTTCGGTTCGGGGGGGAGGCATCGACCCCGAATCGCCCATTCATCTAGGTCACCCGCAGGGGCCCGACAATCGCGCTTCGTGCATCGTGGCCCGGGTTGGAGAGGTGCCCTTCTCCAGGGCGGCGGCGCGAGGGCGCGAAGATAGCCGCGCACTGCGGGGCGCCATTCGCGAAGTTAGGTTACCTAGGTCTCCTTAGGGGCAGCTTTAGGCTCAGGTGTGTGTGTGTGTGTATGTGTGTATGTGTGTATGTGTGTATGTGTGTGTTCATCGACCCCGAATTGCCCGTTCATCACCGATAGGAACCCGATTGCCCACCCCGTCCAGGAACGTCTGGATTCGCTATTAGGGGCCTATCGCCGACCTGTCGGCGATGTATCGCCGATTCTGATTCCAACTCGATGTTCCCCCCCCCCCCCAGAGCTGGTCCCCCCTGACGTTCCCCTTCATCTCCGCTCCTCACCAGCTCTGCGCCACTGGCATCCAGGATCGGATACTTTCGGGCAGCGCGCAGGAAAGTGGCAGGAACGCACCACTTCCGCCCGGGGTCGCGTGGGAGAACAGCAGGGGAGCGCCACGCACCTGCACCAGCCTGAGCCTGGATTTACAGCGTGCCCAGCAGGGTGGCGCTGAGCCCCCTCCCCCTGAATCTTCAGGCCGCCCGTTTTTTCCGGCGCCCCAACGGGTGGGGAGGGGGCCAGGGGGCTTCCGAGAGGCCCTCCTGCCCCTAAGAGGCCTCTTTGAAGGCCTCTGGGCCCTTCTGAAGAGCCCCATGCATTCTTCGAAGACCCTGCCCCCACCCCACCCCCCCCGCGCGCGCCGCCAACATGTGGACCTGACGTCGATGGGGACAGAGGATCGCGCCGCCTCGACGAAGCATCGGCGGCGGCGCGATCCAGAGCCCTATCTGATCCATCTTGGCGACGACCGACGCACCAGCGATGCGGCCCGACTTTCCGAGCCCGTGCATTCTGGCTCCATCTGATTTGGACGGTGCCGATGCAGATGCTTTTCCCTCCGGAAGCTCCTCCTCCTCCTCCTTTCCCTCCTCCTCATCCTCCTCCTCCTCCTCCTCCTCCCTCCTGAAGCTCTTCCTCCTCCTCCTCCTCCTCCTCCTCCTCCTCCTTGTCGCCTTTGGGGACCTCCTGAGGGGCCCTCGTCGCCACGACCGGATCCGCCCCGGGAGAGATCCGGGGCACCCGCGGGGGCGCGAAGACAACCGCGCTTCGCGCGTGTGGCGGTCTCGGCCACAGCGGCTGCCGTTCTCTCGGGGTGCGGCGCGAGGGCGCGCAGGGACTCGCCCGTCGCGCATCGCGGGTCGCGGTGCGCGAAGTTGTGCGACCTGGGTATCGATATCTGCCCTCCAGAACCAGGATGGAGCGGTTCGAGCGTGCAGCACCCCTTGGCCTTCTGGGCGAGTCATCGTCCTGGGGTTCTGGCTCCGAGGGCAGAACCGTCTGCACACATGTTTGCAAGCATGTAGACACTGCGAGCTTGTCTCCTTCTATATCCTCCATGTGTCCGAAAGAGCGCGCTTGTGGCGCACTTCTCACTGAAAGAAGGGCCCCAGCTTCAAGTTACCCTCCCCCTCCCTTGGAAAGGGAGGGGGCTTCCGAAGCTGTCCACTGTCCCCCCTCCCTCCCTCTTGTGGGTACTTTTTAGCTGGGGGGGGCCTAACTAAAGAGAAAGGTATTCCTGTGGCCCGTTATTACTTTCCGTGGCCCGTTGGGGCTTTGTGTGGCCCCGTTGGGGCTTTCTGTGGCCTGGTGGACCTGGTGGCCTCGTAGGGGCTTTTTGTGGCCCAGCCGCCCTTTCTGAGCACAATACCCCAAGCACCATACGACGCACTTCAAGTTCAACTTTAGAGACACAGACACGACATACACTTAGATCTTAGAGACACAGACGCGACACGCACTTAAGCCTTAGAGACACAGACACGACACGCATTTAAACCTCAGAGACACAAGCACGACACGCAATTAGATATTGGAGACAGACACGACACGCACTTAACCCGTAGAGACACAGACACTATACGCACTTAAACCGTAGAGACACAGGCACTACACGCACTTTGATATTGGAGGCAAGGGATGAGCGGGAAAAGGATGAGGATGAGCGGGATGAGGATAGGCGACTCGGAGCCCTCTTGGTCCG